TTATGACATATAGCACAGAAACATGCTGGGATGACTCTCATGATTGGAATGCTGCAATAGATGGCTATAAGCTCTTTAGAAGAGACAAGCCTAGCAAGAGGGGTGGTGGTGTAGCCAATTTATGTTAGGAAGTGCCTTGACGGTACTCAAATTGACAATGGCAAAGATAACGAAGTTGAGAGCACATTAGGGGGAAGGTCAACAGGGCAGATGTCACAGTGGGAGTCTGTTATAGACCACCCAACCAGAATGAAAAGTCAGATGAGATTTTCTACAAACAGCTGGCAAAAGACTCATGGTCGGTTGCTGGCCCTCATACTTAGGTGTGACTTCAACTTGCCAGATGTCTGCTGGAAATACAACACAGCTGAGAGGAATCTAGAAGGTTCCTGGAGCATGTGGAAGACAACATCCTAATGCAAAGGGATAATGAACCCACCAGAAGAGGTGCCCTGCTAGACGTGCTGTTTGAAAACGAAGGAGGACTGGTGGGGGATGTGGTGGTTGGTGGACCTCTTGGACACAGTGACCACAAAATGAAAAAGTTTTCAATAGTGGGTGATGTAACGAGGGCCAGCAGCAGAACTTCCATCTTGGACTTCTGGCAGGCAGACTTTGACATGTTTAGGACATTGATTGATGTAGTCCCCTAGGAGTCAGTCCTGAAGGGTAAAGGAGTTCGGGAAAGCTGGAGGTGTTTTAAAACAATTGCTAAATGTTTAGGACCAGACTGTCCCCATGTGTAGGTAGTGAAGTTGTAGAGGAAAAGGACTAGCCTCGTTAAACAGAGAGCTTAGGCTGGGCCTTGGAGGGGGGGGAAAAAAAAAAAGAAAGGAAGGAACCTATTATCCCTGGAAGGAGAGTCAGGCAAGTTGGAAAAACTATAAGGATGCTGAGATGTCATGCAGGGAGAAGATCAGGAGGCTCTAATAAACCATTATCGCTACAATTAAAAGTGGACATTCAATTGCATACTTTTACTCCAGCACTTCAGCATGGAAGTTTCTGGTTTTGGGGCAATTACCCTGTTTACTTTTTGATTCCTCATATATTAAAATACTTGCCTTTTGCATGACTTCTGTTCAATACATTATTAGTATTTGTGCACTATAAACTCACATTTTAACAGCTGTACAATAAATTAACCCTTAGTGGAATGTTTTAAGTACTGACATCTATGTAGGCCTTAATACAACACTAAAACATTCTATAAAATGAGATGATGACTGGAATCTTGTATAATGCATAAAGTATCATTACCTGTGTCTGGAGTGAGACTGAATTTTTCTGCTCCTGTGCCATGCAGCGTGTAAGTAATTTCTGCATTGGAACGAATATCTGCATCTGTAGCAGATACCTGCATTATCAGTTTGCCAGGAAGGGCATCCTCGGGAACGGAATCAGCATATAAGGTCTGCAAGATTTTAAAGTTACATTGAAAGACTAAACATATGAAGTCAGGAGAGCTTGGAAAGGGGAGGGGAAGAAGTAATGACAGAGGAGATAATATCCTGTTTGAATGTTTGGTAACATAAGAATTGAACCAGAGGGTGAAATACCTGAAAATGAAAAGAACTTATGACTTTCTAATTAATTACTTCACATTTATTAGATTATTCAGAAAGGTATTTAATACTGCAACTACAGGGACTCTAGAACATCACTGCATTGCTAAGGACTCTAGACACTTGTAACTGATAAGCTGTTAATTAAACACCTTCCCAAAAGAGGAGTTAGAAAATTTTGCTAATTTCATCTTTTCCTCTTTTGGCGGATCATCTTTTTTAGGTCTGTCTCAATCTACAAGAAACTGGCATCTGCCTTTTTTGTAAGGGCATGACACAAAAGCTTCTAGAAATAAGAAAAAGGATTCAGAATTTAAAGACAGTAAAGCACTCTTACAGCTCAATCATGTCAGGAATGTGCATTAAATTAAAAGCCCTGAGCCTAATAACACCAATACTAACAAAGCAGACACAAAAGGAGAAAAAGCTAAACCCATTGAATTGCCAGTCTGTATATAACTGCAATCATTTATGTCCATGTAACCAACATGTACATCAACTAAGAAAAAGAATCCAATGTCCGTTGTATACTTGTCGTTGCCTGTACAAGGGAAGATTTCCACCTGGGAACACCAAATCTGTATTCAAGTATGGAAAGCACAAAAAGGCTTCCTTGCAAGGCAATTACACATCTTGCAGGGGCCACCCCTTCTGGGTTTTATTCCATTCCTTATTTTTCATGTCCGTTTTTGCAAACTATCAAATCTGGTAAGGTAGACAGTTCCATAATAAGAAAATATTTATGGATTAAAATTTTTGGTGTTGCCGAGTACAACTGCAGGATAATGTTCCAGTCTATTCAACCCTTTCATCACAGAAAATACACACGTATCTCAGCTAAGTGATGGTATACAGCCTTCTTTGAGGCACTGCTACCTTCATAAAATGGAGCATATAAACTATCATGGCTGCAACTTGAAACAATTCCTTTTGGAAAAGCATGCATTAACACAGAAATGTACTACAATTCCTCTTATATTCTTCAAATACCCACTGAGTGTCAAAATTACATCAAGGAAGGAACTGTCTTTGGATTTTTAAGAAACCTGTCCATGAAGTATCTTTCATTTGACAGCATTCTATCTTAATAGTCCACATTTTTGTTACCAGATTAAAAGTAATAGCTAAACTCCTGTGAAGCAATTTCAGAGAAAATTCAGATTTTTATTTCTCGAAGTAGCTGGATACAGAAGTTACAAGACTCTGCTCACCTTTTCGCATACAGGGCTATTATCATTAGCATCAAGGACTTTAACCTCCACCACAGCTTTAGTTGCAAAGGTCCCATCAGTAGCTGTAATATTTAGAAGATAATTATCCTTTTCTTCCCTGTCCAGAGGCTTTTTAACATAGACCTTCCATTCATTCTGTATATTTTCAATAGCAAACTGTCCCAAGGGATCACCTCCTGAAATATGAAAAGAAACATTCATTAAAAGACAAGACAGAGACTGCTACTGTTACACTATCAAACTGAGGTATAGACAGAGGCGGGAAAAAAAAGTAAATACAAATAAAGCAGCCACTCTCTGTGGTTTTATAGGGAAACAGCTTCATTTCCCAGGTAGAAATAATCAGTAGATGCTCATACAACAGATTTAACTGTGGCCAACAGCAACCATAAAAATCAATGAAAAATTCATGTAGCTATATAGAAAACACCAAGTTACATGCTAAAGCAATACAATACTCCACTGAAAATTAATAGCCTATTATTTTGTGAAATTTCTTTAATTTGTTCTTTAACTACATCACTAATTTAAGTGCAAGCATATTTTTGAAATAAAATTTGGTACATGAGTAAAACGATAAAACATATGAAAGCAATTTAAGCAAGGCACACATGAAACTGGAAGCCAAAAACTTGTTTTCTAAAACTTACTTTTCCCCTAAAGTTTTTAATCATATTAAGACACACATTCTCTCTTCGCAGCTCTATGGTTTCAAATACCTTTCAATCATTTCAAAGATTAAGTTATATCTCACATCATTCCAGGATCTCTCACATGATTATTCTGACATTACTCAAAAAGATTTACCTGTAATGTAATAAAAGACTTGTCTGTTGGCTTCTTCTGTATCAGCATCAGTTGTACTCAAGATGGCAATTACCCCACCAGGAGGGTCATCCTCACTGACTGTTCCTTTATATATCTCTGCAGTAAACCGTGGAGGATTGTCATTCACATCTGTAACAGTAACTTCAACCACAGCCATGGAAGATAGTTGAATTTTTTCACCCCGGTCAGACGCAACCACCGTGATTTTGTATTTGTCTCGTTTCTCGTGATCGAGTTCTTTGAGAGTGGTAATCCAGCCAGTTTCCATGTTTATGGCAAAAGACTCTATAATGTCTGGCTCTTGAGAAGGATCCAAGCTGTAAGTAACCTGCCCATTGAGTCCTGAGTCTAAGTCAGTTCCTTTAACCTGTATGACTCTTGTTCCAGCCAGTGTGTTTTCTACGATGAATGCTTCGTACGGATTGGACTCCAATATGGGTTTGTTATCATTTGCATCTTTTACCTGAATGCTTACGTCTACTGAGGAAACAACATTATAATCTTCATTTGCATACTGTGCTCGAACTGAGAACTGGTACCATTTAGTTGTTTCATGATCAAGATTCTTCTCAAGTTTTAACTCTCCGGTCTGTCGGTCAATAACAAAAAAGTCATCTCTGTTGCTTTCAGGAGTGTTCCCTTTAATCAGACTATATACCAAAGTCTGATTATATTCTGCTTTGATAACATCTATCACAGTCCCAATTGGAATGTCCTCTGAAACTGTGTAAGAATAAAACGGCTCTGAAAATTTTGGAGGAGGCACTTCTGGTGGGAGTATTCTAGCATAGACAGGAACAACTGACTCTTTTTTCGGGGATCCACCATCAACTGCTCTAACAAGGAAACTAAGAAACTCATTTTCCAAACCAATTAAGCTTTCTTTTGTCGTAATTATACCAGACAATGAATCAATTTCTAAGTTCTCTTTTACATTTTCTGACTCTGCTTCAATAGCATATGTGATGTCTGCATTTGTACCCTCATCAGCATCAGATGCCCAGACTTTAATGACAGAAGTACCCCGTGGAACATCAGATCCAATATTTACTTCATACTCTGTTGCTCGGAATTGAGGAGCATTATCATTGTCATCTGTGAGTATTACATTAACAGTACAGAAAGCAACTTTTCCTCCTGAATCTTTGGCCATTAAACTAATGGCAATTACTTTCTCGGCTTGTGTTTCACGGTCAAGCTTTTCAGAGGTAAATAGCTGCCCTCTCTCATTTGTATAAAATCTGTCTTTGGCAAAGTCATTCACAATGTGGTAAGTGATGTGGCCATGCGTACCAGAATCTTCATCTGTTGCTTTTACTTCAGTCACCAAAGTATGCAATGGAGCATTTTCAGCTAGCTCAACCTCATATTCATTCTGGCTGAAAACAGGACTGTGCATATTGGCACTGGTTACCGTAATATGGACTTGGGCTGAGCTTCTAAAGACTCCATCGGAAACAGACACGTTAAGATTATAATGCGACTTCAGTGTCTGTCTGCGTAGGTTTGAGATGGTGATAATGCCAGTTTTACTATTAATGACAAAGTTCTTCTCATCATTGCCTGTCAGAATGGAGTATTCCAGCTTGTCAACATCTGAACTATCTGCATCTGAGGCTTGCACACATGTCACAAAATGCCCTCGGGGAGCCAGCTCACCAATTTTAGCTTCATAAAGCAATTGGCTAAAAAGAGGAGGGTTATCATTGAGATCAGTTACATCAACAGTTACAATGGTATCACTGCTCAAGGGCAGCATGCCACCATCTATGGCCCTTATTAACAACTTGTGTTGTTTAATTTGTTCATAGTCCAAAGTTCTTGCTGTAAGAATGAGTCCAGTGCTGCTATCTACGTGAAAGTAGTCATGGCTTTCACTATTGTCCTCAACCAAATGATAAGAAATCCCCCTGTTCGTTCCAGAATCTGCATCTGTAGCGCTCACTCGTACAACGGATGTTCCAACGACAGATGCTTCAGAAAGTGTTGCAGCATAAGATTGCTCCATAAACACAGGAGGATTATCATTGATGTCTTCCACTATTATGTCTACAAACACATCAGCATGTACCCCAGTTAGGGAGTCTGTTGCTCGAACACTCAGTTTATAGGCTGGATGAGACTCGAAGTCAAGAGGGGCGACAACATTTACAACTCCAGTGTTGAAGTTAATAGTGAATTGATTGAAAGGATCTCCACCTGTGATGCTGTAAAACACCTTAAGTCCTTCTGGGCTGTTTGCCTGTACATGTACCACAGGACTATGGAGCTGAATGTTTTCTGGTATCTCTGCACTGTAGAATGGCTTTTCAAACACTGGCATAGCTTTACTCATAACTGTAATTGGGACTATAACTTCAGCAGAAAAAGCAGGGTCTCCTCCATCTTTTGCCACTACTGTGACCAAATACTCCTTATTTAGTGTGTCTGGTTCAAACTTCTGCTTTAGTGAGATTTCACCGGTAGGATCAATTTGGAAATGTTCATGATGCTCTTTCAGACTGTAGTGCACCTCTCCATTTCTGCCTATATCTTTGTCTACTGCAGTGACACGTTGAATAACATGGCCTGCTTCAGAGTCCACTTTAACAACAGCATAATATGGAAGATTGACAAAAATTGGAGCGTTATCATTTACATCTTCCACTGTGACTTTAACTACAATGTGTGCAACAACTGATGGTTTATTTTCCTCTGTCACTTCTATGACCACATCAAAAGACTCTTGCTGCTCACGATCAAATGGTATTCCTGTTGTTGAAAGGACTCCTGAAGTTGGGCTTATTTTAAATCTGCTGTCTGGATTCAGAATATGGTAAAACAAAGGCTCATTTATTTGATTCCCTATAGCAGTAACAACAGCTATTGTTTTCGCCTCTGTGGTATTCTCCTGCACTGTTGCAGAGTAAGAACTCTGTGTGAACTTCAGCTGGCTTGTTTTGCTTTCTTTCACATTAATTTTAACAGATGCAGTGCTTGCAAATCTGCCATCAGATGCTCTCACTGTTAGTTCGTATCTGCTTCTTAACTGAGTTGTATTTTGTACTGTTATATCTCCAGTCTTAGGGTTTATTAAAAATTTTTCTCCAATATTGCCTTCAATAATGGAATAAATTAGTTGTGAAAAAATGCCTGAATCAGCATCAGTGGCATTTACGCTGATGACTTTCACGCCTTTATAGGTTGGAACCAGAATGGATGTCTCATATAACTCTCTTGAAAACACAGGAGGGCAATCATTGATGTCAATTACATAAATAGTAACATTAGCTGCATATTCTGCATATAGAGATGGCATCCCCATATCATGTACTTGCACTGAAAAGTGGAAAATATTTGTCTCCTCGTAGTCCAGACTCATTACTGTCCGAATGGCACCAGTGCTAGAATCAATGGCAAAATACTTGCGGACAGATGGTTCAACAATTTGATAAACAAGCAAAGCATTAGATTCTTTATCAGCATCTGTAGCTCGAATTACTAATGGGATATTCTTGTCAGTCAGAACCACACTGTTAATTGAAGCTGATTCACTGATGAGCCCTGTATATTCAGCCTGCATAAAAATTGGAGCATTGTCATTCTCATCCCGAAGATGCACCAAAACTGTTGCATTGGTGGACAAGCCAGCCATGTTTGTTCCTTGCACAGTTAGAGTGTAAAAAGGCAAAGTTTCAAAATCAAGTATCTTCTGAGAAACGATGACACCTGAGTTCGGGTTGACAGCAAAGGCATCATCTGTATTACCATCTTTTATTTCATAAACTACAGAAGACTGACTGTATGCTGTAACCATTCCAACAAAACTGCCAACGCTGGCGCTTTCACTGAGCTCTGCAGAATATTCTTTGGCGGCAAATTTTGGTGAGGCATTATCAGAAACCGTAACAAATATGTGCACAGAGGTCACTTCACTCATTGGAGGATCTCCTTTGTCTGTAGCTTTTACCATCAGGTTGTATTCTTCCTGGTTACTACGATCTAATTCCTTTGCAATTTTAATCATACCCAAAATGGGATCAATAAGGAAGGAATTTCCGATATTCCCTGTGAAGAAAAAGAAAAACAATTAAGAAAGAGGTATACAGAATTTAAAGGAAGACTACTTCTTTAACGCTATACTAGAAGAGATCACATAGCACGAACATAGTATGACAATTTCTTAGTTTTGTTTGACAAACATTCCTTGAACTCTCTGGAAAGTTTTCTGTAATCAAGAGTTAGTTTATTTGTGGAAATCTCGCACTGTTAGCAAAGCCATCCAAGTCTTGAAAATAAATGCAAAAACTTTGTTTAAATAAACTTAGAAATCTACTGAAGCTGAAAGTAACTTATATACACAAGTTAACATTAGTGGTATATAAGCTACATTTTAAAATCTAAAACAACTAGACTGTTCTGAAAAAAAAGTAGGGTTTTAATGAATAAACACTTGTGAATCTTAATTCTTTATGCAAGTATTGTTTAAATCACTGCTTCAAAAATAATCTTTTTGAATTGGACTCAAAGATCTCTCTCCAAGCTTCCTCCTGATACAGACACGTTATTCCCTGTGACAGTATCAGAAGAAAATTAAGACCTGATGAGAAATACCAGCTGCCATTTGATAAACACTTGCTCCATATTTTCAAATACATAGATGAACTACACTGCATACACTATTCAGCTCCTGCACTAAGTATGGCAAAATGTAACATTTTACTTCCTTAAAAAATTACACTACTAATCAGGCCATGTTCTCAGCATGGAAAATATTCATTAAGAACTTCTGAGTTATGCGCACAAGCAGGCAAGAGGGTTTTTTTTTGTGGTTTCCTTTTTTTTTTCCAGTAGAGACTTTAAACACAGGGGCATTCCTAGAATATCCCAGCAGCCATTACAAGTATTTAAGGAGTGTTCCTTCCATATGCTTAGAACATCAATTAGAATGCTTTAACCTCGCAGTAGATCATAGTCCTGCAAAACAAACCATATAGGTCTTACATTTACTCCTACAAAAAGTTAGAAGAAAGGAAGAGAACAGGGTGTAACTTCATAACAAACATTTCAAACAACTTATGAGACACTTAAATACATTCACTCTTTTCAGAGTATCATAATCAGAGCTTTGTTTTAATACAGTGTTAAAGTATGTTTTCACATCAAAACAACACTTTGGGAAAGGAAAATATTTACAATAAACAACTCCTATGCTTTACACAGCAACTTACTGCACACAGGCAATGAAATTTAAATCACTTTTTTTTCCCCAGTCATAGTGCCTGCGTGGCTCAAGACCTTGGTAATAGCCGGTTCGTATCTAGATTTAACGGCTTAAAACAAAACTCACTTCCATCTAGTAAGTGAGCTCAATGTCATCTTGTTTTCATATTACTCAAAATAATTTGAATTGCATTCTTACAGGAAAATTCAGAAAGATTAAAAGGTTAAAAATGAGCAGCAGCACCTAATGCTGTTCTCTGGCCTGCAATCTAAAAGGAATCTTAATGCCGAACTGACCAGCTATTAAGGAATTTCTTAGGTATTTTAAAGAACTAGAACAGCACTATCTAAAGTCAGCGAGGAGGAACCATGTAAAGAAACTCTTTCCTTGCTACATCTATCAGAAAGTTTTAAAAATTGGGACTACTTAAGGGTTAAGGATATTTGTAAGTTATTTTAGAGTCCCTTTCTTTCGCATTATACTAGACATGAAAGCACTTGTCTTAGGCTCTTACTATTCATCAAATCCTTTCTCTGCCTATGCCACAGAAATATGACTTACATTATCAAAATATAATGATTCTTTTTAAGCCCTGAATTACATGCTTCTGTAATTTCTAAAGAACACACCCTTTTAAGGGTTTAAAGATAGTAGCAGCAGTAGTAAAAGAAAAAGCTTAAATGTTTTAAATATACCTACAGGGTAACATAAATAGCTAAGGAATGGAGATGAATATTTGTAGTTTTCTTTTAAATGCTCTGAGGCTGTATCTTCTCAGAATATGACATAAACCTGCACTGCCCCCCTTTTTTACAGCTGTGTTTTCACATGATGACAGCTGAAACAAAGTATCAGCAAGCACTGTTCCAAAATAGAGCCAAGAAAGTCAATATACCTGATTCAATGGAATACACAATTTCTGCATTTTTTCCTTTGTCCTTATCTAATGCTGTAACCTGGAGTACTGCTGATCCAACAGCTGCTGACTCATACACCCGTCCCTCATAGGAAGAGCTGGTGAACCATGGCGCGTGGTCATTTGTGTCGCTGACATTAACGACGATTCTAGCATAGTTGCGCTTTACAGGAACATCTTGATCTCGAACCTGAAATGGTTAGCAAATTACTAATAATTAGCACTGTTATTTTAGTAGTTCATTAATTATTAGTAATAATTCGAGGTTCAACCTGCACCAGTCACATACATGTAACATACAATTAAACATCTGGATTAAGGTGACAAATCAACAAGATGTAAAAAAAAAAAAAAAAAAAGATCTGTGGTTGACAATTGAAGAAATCTTGTGTTTGCTTACCATTATTGTGAGAATATGCTGGCTCATGGTCTCATGATCCAGTTTTTCTGAAGTATAAAGAGAGCCAGTTGCAGGGTCCAGACGAAATTTTTTAAGACTGATGGGATCAGTGCTGCCCAGCATAGTATAAATCAGTTTATTCTTCTCATCTCTGTCTGTGGCACTGACTTGTAGAATTTCTGTCTCTGGTATGGTGTCTTCAGGTATTACAACTTCATATTTTGAAGCAGAAAACTGAGGCCTGTGGTTATTTGTGTCTATAACTTTGATGTACACCTGAAATGATACAATGGGAAGGGGAAAGCATTGGCAATATTTGGTAAACAAAGATGAAAGGAGGGTATTTCATTAAAAATCAGACCTCTGGGAGGGGGAGAGATTCAAGAGATGTAGGGATGAAGAATCTCACTAACCCCAAATCTACCTCACCCTCCCCAAAGTGAAACCAGAAATGTATACAATCAAAAATGTTTCGGGCAAGGTATCTTAAAAGGAATGATTTTGTCTAATTCAAGACTGAAAATGATTCCTTATTAATTCTGGAATTTTAAAAAACCCCAATTATCAGTATGCATACTAGAGTAAAAATCCTTTTTTTTTTTTTTTTTGGTATGCAAACTTAGGCTTTTAAGCAATGTTTTTTCAAGGCAGTGGATGCATAACACTCCTCCTTGTCCTCACACAGAAACAATCCTCTTGCAGTTCCCTACATTTCCAAGCCTAGGCAAGAATGGAAAAGTGGTGGAATACCCACAAATGTGTATTATTTCAAAGTACCACAGATATTGTTACATTCTCTAGCAATGTAGTACAATCTCAGCATAGCTCACTGGTCACCAACCCAATTTCACTGAAGCTACAGTTAAATTAACTTAGATGTCTCCAATTTCATTTTCTTGCAGAAGTTCAGCTGACTTCACCTATGCGCTACGCAGGCAATGCTCTCTTTATCTGAATAATAGTGTTCACTGGAACCACACAAGATCCCTACACATCCACTTGCCTTTCGCAGCATCAAACTTCTGTATAAAAAGGGTAAGACAATCAGTCACCACCCTGTTCCTTCAACATGAGATAAGCAACAGTAATGCAGAGGAGATGGCTAGTGACAGCAAAGCTCTAACAACACACAGCTAAATTCTTCATGTGCTGCACGTACAGCCATGCTTTTAGCCATCCAAAGGTTACGTGATTTGTATAAATAGGTTAAGGACCATCAACAGCTGTTTAGAATAGGTACTTAGGATATCATAAGTGGATTAAAATGCTCTTTGAAGATACTTATTGCTTTCCATAGATAACTGGTAGAGTCTACACATACAATTTAGACAAGGTACCAAACTGCATGCAGTAGCAACTACATGAGATGAATCTTGATGGTGGTAAATAATTAGCAAATGCCATACCTTGCAAAATTAGCATCTTACATTAAAACTTGTACCAAGAAATATCAGCTGTTGAGAGTATCAAGAGGAGTTTTACAAATCTGTAAAATATTTCTTTCAGATGGAGGGATATTAGCCCAGGTTGCAGCTACTACTTAAGCTCCAATATAATGAATTCTTCCTTGTGGTACATTTTAATAAAGGCTGAAAACACTTAGGTTAACTAAGACATAGGCAGTCCTTGAATACACTCTACAAATGCTACCAAGAGTTTAGGACACTGTTGGAAGGATTTAATTCTAATTAACAACAGAAAGACTTCTATCACTAAGGAATAAAGTCCTGCACCACCAGGCAGACTTGATTAATAGAAGTGAGAATCAGGGAACATGAAGAACGGGGTGTGTAATTCTTGGGATAATTTTGTATTACAAGGTAGGAAAGTCCTCCCAAAAACTGGAGTTTGCAAGTGTGGTAGTTGAAAAAACTGTCACTAGAAAAACTGTTTTCACTGAGTATTTCACCTGGACAATAAAAAAAAGAATAAACAAGCATATCAAAGGGAATATAGGAACAGAGATGAATATGACAAATGTGGAACCTCAAGATTCAGAAGTCAGATACAGAATAAAAACCCAGGTAAGGAATAAGAAAGTATTAAATTTATTTAGAACAGTGAAAAAATCTGGGTGTAAGCAAGACCACCAGGAAATATAAAGATCAATTAATGAGGAGGAAAGCCTGCCCCAGATTACAGTTTTGCCTCAGTTTTATTCACCAAGAAAAACAGGGTGCATGGCACTGCATGAAAAAAAACAAAAAAAGAGACTCTGGCAAAGTAGTGATGCTGCAGTAAGTTGCTAAATGGAAACAAGTCACCAAGACAAGCCTGAAATCACCTCCACGTTCTGCTTGAAAAGAAGACAGATGATAACCTCCTAATGTAGCACCTGCTGTTAATAATGCAGTGCTCCACCTCCAGGCCAGCAGTCAGGGTGGGCAGGGAGCATGGGTGGGGGTGTATGTGTGCACACACTAGTGTCCACAGCCCCACACCCAAGCCTTTAAAAACTTTTTAGAAGGCTATAGGTCACTATATACAGGATATGCATAATCCAGTATATAGTACATTTAGGGAAATATTCATAAACACAGGTAATTTTTCAGTGTTTGAAACAGCCTTTTAGGATAAACACAGACTATCACTGCAGAGGAAAATAATCCCTCCCACTATTTATTAGATTTCTCAGAAAACTGAAGAAATAGGGAAAAACGAATCATTTGACACATTGATAAAATCCCTCTCAAAATGTTGCTGTGGAGACTAAGGAGTTTGTTTGTATCATGGATTAGAAATTGGTTAAAGGAAGGAAACAATGATTTGGAATAAATATTGACTTTCAGTGGGGAGAAAAAGTAATGGTAGGTGGCCCAGGATACATACTAGGACAAGTTTTAAAATACATTCACAAAAATTCACATGGAAAATGAACAGCAATAATGGATATTATCTTACACATGTGATCATTTTTATATTGCCATGATTAGAGAGGATGCAATAAAGTAACACAAGCACAGTTGTTTCTTTTTAAATTCGGTATAAATAAAATGCATTTTAATGCCTCCTGGAAAAAGTAAGTCAGAAGGGTCCAATACAGCCACTTACATAGCATTTGAGTAAAAACACCTGCTCACTGAGAACTGGTGCTCAGGAAAATGAAAAATGATACCAAATGAAGATGGCCAACAAACTAAAAACTGAATCACAGAAAACCCCAACCCTCAATAAAAATCAAACTATAAAAATATTTTTGCATAAATAGAAAGTTTAAAGGCCATATACTATTACAACACTTAATTAATGGATAATATGCTTTCAAAATGAATTTGTCAACAATTTTTTTATTAAATTCCCACCCCCAAGAGATTATTAAATTCAGACTTGGAAAAACAGCATGTGAAAAGATTAAGTGTCAAATTTGATGAATTTAAATTAAAATTGCTATTTAAGTTCATGTTCATTTCCACCTTCAAGTGAGGAAACAGAGACACTTAGGTCAAAATTAGAGTTGAGAGGGTATGCAACTCCAGAGCAACTGTGTTAGACGAATCTCTGGAGTGGAAGACATTGTCACCTCTTCTGTTTGTACTACACAAAATTAACGCAGAGAAACAGTGTGCTGGTTTGAGCTGAAGTAGAGTTAACTTTCTTTATAGAGGCTAGTATGAGGCTATGTTTGGGTTTTGTGCAGAACACAGAGTTGATAATGCAGAGATGTTTTTGTTATTGCTGAGCAGAGTTTACACAGAGTCAAGGCCTTTGCTGCTTTCCGTACTGCCACACTGGCAAGGAAGTTGGGGATGCATGGGAGATTGGGAGGAGAGACAGCTGGGACAGGTGACCCAAACTGACCAAAAGGATATTCCATACCATATGACATCATGCTCAGTATATAAGGTGGGAGGAAGGAGGAAGGGGGGACATCTGGAGTGATGGCGTTTGTCTTCCCAAGGAACCGTTACGCGTGATGGGCCCTGCTCTCCTGGAGATGGCTAAACACCTCCTGTCTTCGGGAAGCAGTGAATTAATTCCTTGTTTTGCTTTGCTTGTGTGTGCAGCTTTTGCTTTCTCTATTAAACTGTCTTTATCTCAACCTCTGAGTTTTTGTAGCTTTTACCCTTCTGATTCGCTCCCCCATCCCGTTGGTGGGGGAGTGAGTGAGAGGCTGCGTGGTTCTTGGCTGCTGGCTGGGGTTAAACCACGACAAACAGCAATTCTAGAATGGCGCACCGCAAAAAACCCATGCAAAATACTAATTTAAAAGTCAGGAACATAGTGACTGTGAAATTAACATCAGTACCTGCAAGACTAACCACATGTCCAACAAACCAGACTAACCCAGAAGAGATCTGTTGATCACACCATCAGGATTTAGCATCAACTCCCTCTGACTGGGAGTAGCAGGTGGCAGGAAAGGAATTACCCCCCTCTATTTGATACTCACTGGTGGGAATGTGGATCCACTACAGTTTTGGGCCCTGCAGTCCAAGAGATTCTGATAAAATCAAGAGGGGATCAAAAAGTTCTCTGTCCTCTGTATAAAGGGAAGGCTACAGGAAAGAGACTCAGACTCTTCTCAGAGATGCATAACAGAAGGACAGGAAGTGACACTCAAGCTCCAATAAGAGAAATTACAATAAGACATAAAAAAATATCAAGGAGAGTTGTTAAACACCTATATAAAAGCAAGTCCAAGGAAGAAGTCTTATGATCTGTCATCCCAGTCACTTAGAACCTAATGAGTCCCTGAACAACTTGGTCAACTTTGTAGTGCTTTGAGCAGGAGTTTTAATACAATGAACTCCAGGGCCTACCTCCAATCTAAACTATTAAACAAATTTACTAAGGAATCCCAACTTTCAAGTCAGGTCAGGAATTCTTACTGAGGCTAAGTGACAAGTGCTAGATGTACAATTTCCTTGTAAATGTAAGAGGACCAAATTTTCATGTCAACTGTTAAGACCTTCAAATTAAATGAAAGGCATCTGAAGTAATAATTGCGAGTGCAAATTTAAAGACCCACACAGAAACATATGGCTTTGTGTGCCTCAGAACAAAACACATGAAGAGCTTGTGTTATTCCAACGTAACATGTATCATAAAATAAAACCATCAATGAAACTAGAAGGTTACATTCAAATGAAGGATGCCAGTATTATGTCTTTAGAAAGAAGCTGCACATGAGAAAGGCACAACACAGAAAGGTCTGACATTAGCAGACTGTAACGAGATCTTTGAAACAAAATGCTTTGGAACTAAAGAAGTGTGACTCACTTAGCAAGGCTATGCAAGGGCTGTGTTACACAACTGCCCTCTGCTCACTGACTGAGAGTGATGTAAACTGGCTATAGTAACAAAGAACAAAGCAGCCCAGGATTATTTCGAGAGAGGACTTCAAATTTATTAATAATTTGGCAGGTGAAACCTAAATTTGTATGGGAATGCATTGATTACTGCTGAGTTATAGAGGAGATATGTACCATTGACAAAATGTACTCAGTGTGCAATATTTAAACACAGTGTTCCTTTGGACTGTTCAAATAAAATTTTTCATTTACTGATTCTATATGGAGTTTTAAATCTCTTCCTCTCCCATAATAACATTACAGTTACATTGGCAGGTTTATAATAATTTTCATAAACAAATACTTGTATTATCTAGAGATAATATAACTACATTCCAGTTCTAAAATGTCTGTGGAGCAGTGTGGTGATCACAAGCAAATATGCGTATTTAATAAATGAAGAATATTCTAGACTCCATTCCCTAAGTATAATATCCATATAAATTTTTCATAAAGCAAGATTAAGTACTCTGCAATAGCACAGCAAGAGGTAAAATGCCTTAATTAGCTTTAAACCATCTTAAACATTACTTTCAGTGAAAAAAATTGATAGACACAGCAATGACTGCAAGTGGCTATAACTAGAAACAGGATTTTTTCTGTTTTCCCCTGTGCTGGTTCAGGCTGGGGTAAAATTAACTTTCTTCACAGTGGCTGGTATGTGGCTGTGTTTTGGATTTGTGCAGAACATAGTGACAATAATATAGAGATGCTTTTGTTATTGCTGAGCAGTGCTTACAGAGAGCCGAGGTATTTTCTGCTTTCTGTACTGCCAAGCTAGCAAGGAAGGTGAGGGTGTATGGGAGATTACGAGACACAGCTGGGACAGGTGACCCAAACTGACCGAAGGGATATTCCATATCATATGACATCATGCTCAGTATATAAAGTTGAGGGAAGAAGGAGGAAGGGGGAAATGTTTAGAGTGATGGCATTTCTCTTCCCAAGTAAGGGTAATGCATGACAGGGCCCTGCTCTCCTGGCGATGGCCAAGCACCTTCCTGCCCATGGGAAGCAATGAATTAATTTGTTTTGCTTTGCTGGCATGTGTGACTTTTGCTTTCCTTATTAAACTGCCTTTATATCAACCCATGAGTTTTATAGCTTTTACCCTTTCAATTCACTCCCCCATCATGCTGGTGGGGGAGTGAGCAAGTGGCTGTGTGGGGTTTGGCTGCTGGCTGGAATTAAATCACAACATCCTCTCAAAAAGTAATTCAAAAGTTCATATACTGCTACTTACAGCCTGTGAACAACCTTTTCTATTTCAGTATATAAGTACATTGATCTGCGTTTTTCAATGATTCAATTTTTTGTTTTCATTTTTAATGATATTCCTTCCTAGTGTGACACTAATCATCTCTAACATCATCTGTCAAACACTACCACTGTAGGCCTGGAATTTGTCCTTGTTTTACATCATGCACTTGGCATTTAGATGCAATGCAAAATTCTAATAGCCTCCACGCCTACTACTGCTTTATTTTTCAAAAAAGCTATTTAACTGAAGCCCTGAAAGAGTCAAATGCTCTACAGATGTTAATGGCCTGAGGCCAGCAAATGCCTTGAGTTTAAAGTCATATTCAAAACACTGCTTTTACACAACAGGACTTTCATTTCTTGTCCCCTTCTCCAATGTCTTGCAAATATCACTTCCTTTTCCAAATTAAATGTAAAATGACTTAATCTGTTGTTAATCAAGGTATGTCAAATTGTTTACTGTATTTCCAGTGATTACAGCCATTACTTTATAAGCTAAAAGCTGTGTATGGCATATTGTTGTTCCTCATGTATGTACTCAGAATTTCTTTTGCCTGGCACTCCATTTTAACTGTTTATCAATGCTTAGAAGAATACAACACCACAAACATTCAAATTTCAATCATCATTATTTCAGCAATGGGTAATGGAACTTACACAGTGATAGCCATAAATCACACCTTGAACCTTTGATTTCATATGGAGATTTTTAATTCCCCAAAGTTAAGCATCTGAAATGCACCTTTTGAATGACAGCCCTGAGGGTTATTTTAACAGATTAGTCCATTTGGGTGGGCCAGAAGTTATGAGGAAGATAAGAGAATCAGTTGAAATCTGTTCATGCACCAACAGTTGCAGAGTTAGAACTAATCCACACTCCTCAATCTATACACCACAGTAACGTGACACTCCACTAGAATAATGTGTGCTTATCCCACAAGCAAAGGAAAAAGAAGAAAATGCAAAGTAAGTCTTTGTGCTTGTTTGTAACAGAAACCACAATCTCCAATCCTGCCAGCTCTAACTGAGAGAGGAAAGGAAAGACACAAAAGAAAATCATACAAAAAGCAATCACGGATGATAAATTTGAGACGACTACTCCAATTCCTCTGGAGAAGACTGATGTGGTAAATGTTTATACTGTTTGCTCAGCTTTACCAAATGCTAAAATAACAAATTCCTGTAAAGAAATTGGACAAGAGCTACACTGTGCACTTTCAAGAAGAATGAAATGAATCATGTAACACAGAGGAAGAGAAGGGGTGAGGGTTAAAGTATTTTTGTGACTTTCCAAATGTTGGTTGTTCCGGAAGACAAAGCAGATTACAGTTCAACTGTGACAGCTCAGGACGCCTGCATAAATTCAGCTACGTAAGCAGCAGCACTGGATAGAATATCTACAGTCATTGGGACCACATGTTAAGTCTTCAGTAGTCCCCAGACTACCCCAACACACTGTGTGGCAGCATTTTTGACTTCATTCTTGGGATGGGGGGAAGCGTGTGTGGAAAGCCTCTTGCTGCCTTTTTGACTTTCCTGGCAAACGGAACTATCTTGTAACTGGATTTGTATTTCTCGTATTTTTTTCCCCAAAGTAATTCATGCCTTCTATCCAGCTTCCTGTAATCGGTAGAAATGAATTGGCTCAGTATTCCTACTACAAGTAGGCAATAAATGTACAGCTGCATTCTCCAAACCTTTTATAGTGGTTATCAGCACCAGAAGCAATGGCACCATAGCTATGATAGCAATAAGTTCCTACTGGGGGACATGCTGCTATCTTTGAAGATTCATGGTCTAGAACATCACTCACAATTGTCACTGTTAAAGGAAAAGGCAATTCTCAAAGGAAACTGCTAAACTTGAAATTTCCTGCTATCAAATTTAGCCTATTTGATGTATCAAGCCTCCAGACATGCAGTCGGCTCAATAAAGATTCTGTTTAAAATCCTGAACATTAACAAGAAACATCCTTTCCCCTGGCCAAAAGGAAGAAGACAGCATATGAGACATTGGAAAAGATAGCAGAAAAATCTATGTACTGCACAGAAGCTGAACAAGAAGAAATAGCATTTGCAACACAGATTTCTATGTACAGAAAAGATGTACAGCAACCCATTTATTGCTCTTTGAGCTTCTAAGGGATAAGTTGATGATAGGCATAGGTAACACAGACATCACTGTCCCAGTCCAACAGTCTTAAATTAGTGAACAAATCCTTTCTTTTCTATCTGGAGGAAAAACGGAGCTCCTTTATCTTCCTGGCTTCATTCATACCAGCTCCAGCTAAACCTTACTTTCAAATATATTCAGGTTCTGGGCTGGGGCAAGAAAATAGGTGGTAAAAACAGGAGGAACATACATCATAACATATTTTACTATGAGTTATTTCCAGTAGTGTCACAAACGGCTTGTGCACCTTAAAGTAAACTTACTAATCCAACTACAAAGAAATCCTGCCACCATAGAGCCTCAGTAGAGAATAATTTTAAAAAATTGGTTTGTCTGAGGTTGCTGCATTTTGGAGAGTGTTTGGCAACATCTACCTCCACCAAAGCTAAAATAAAGTAATTGGGAAGATACACAGGGATAATATCATCTAAACTTTGTTTCTACAAATACAATATGCAGAAGGAGCCACTCTGTTTCGTAAAACATTACTTTGACATTGTACAATTAGTCATCCACAGATACTGCAGGGGGAAAGGAATGTTACAACGGTCATCTTTAAATTTCATGTACAGTAATCAAATTATTTAGTCATTTTGCAGGAACTGGATAAAGAGCAGTAATTCAGATAAGAAGTATTAATCTTTTTCTTGTGAGAAAATCATGCATACCAGGGCATAGTTTCTGCTTTCATTTACTCAGCTAATATAGGAACATGATAAAACTTAAAAGCTCTTGGTTCAGACTACAGCATAGTAAGACAGACAACTTTCAGCTAGACCACCAAACAACATGGCTCTATGAATATTAGAATCCACTTCTATTTTAAACAGATGCCCTAATTTAGATAACCCATATTCATAGTCCAAAAAGAAAAATATGGTAAGGAGAAAATACAACACCCTCTCCACCCTCCAGCTAAAAGTTCCTTCTTCTAAAAGTGCTTCTTTAGAAAGTCTGTTACCTGAGTGCTGATAGATCTGGTTCCATCTGTTGCCTCTACTGTCAAGTTGTAATTTGATTTCTGTTCTGCATCAAGAGGTCTTGCGACAATGATAGTTCCAGTGCCCTTGTCCACATCAAATCGACTGTCATAGTTGCCACCTTGTTCAGGAAATTGGGAGAGGCAGAAGTTAATAGAATACATCATTGTTTCCTTGTTTTCATGTATGATCATGTTCTGTCTTCAGATGCTTAATGAAAGTGGAACTATATACACATATACATACACTTATTTTAAACACTTTGGGTTTTTTTCCTGGTAACGTGATATGCTGCTACTTATATACATTTAAAACTGAGCAGTTTTGTACAAAGCTGATTTGTCCAGCGCATGGAAAGCTAGCAGGAAGATTTTGAGGAAACTGGCAGGCCAATTAGTGAAACACATACTTTATATCAATATCCCAAATTAGACATACAGTCAAATTTGTGTCTCTTGGAGCAGAGTACAAATCACTATATTCGTATGAGACTACAGATAAGGCTGAAAAAGCTACAGTACTTCCAAAGGATACTCATCCTAATGCTGAGTATCTAAGGAATTCACTATCTCACTCCTACTGAGATAAGCAGGATTCAGATGAGTGTTTTATGTTTAAATGCCCAGTGGTTAAATATGGCTAAATAACTTTTCTGAAGCAGATTATTTCATTTCCCTTGTAAGACTTTCAAGTTACCCTTTGAAATATAGTTAATAACCATGTAGATCAATAGCTACACTTAGTCGTTTAAACATCTAATTGATCATCATCATCATGGCACCCAGAGCAGACTGTCCTGCAAATCCAATGTCCATTAAGTCCAAATATTGTTAGTGATGATAAATACTACCTTTTAATGAAAATTGCTTTAAGTCTCTCAATAAACTGCCTGAAATGAAAGAATCCATTTTTATTTTGGTCAAGCCAGTGCTGGATATGGCAAACCAATTTCTCCTGATTATGTGCATGTTTTTCTAATCTTTTACAAGGATAGTGGATAGCACTCAGATTATCATCTGAGAGCCTTTTTTTTTCCTTTAACAAGTTCTGACATGCTAAGCTTTGCAAATCACTAAATGCCTTCTATGGAAAGCCAAGGCTAGAAGTGAGAAGGTGAAGTTCCAAAGGTTGCAAATTTGTACTTAATCCAAGAAAAAAACAGTAAATACTGAAATGGGCCCCCATTCACATGTAAAAATGATTTCACCTTTAGAAGGTTCCACTGCATGACAAACATATCAGTTTAGGAAAGATGGGCTGGATTCTGCTTCGCTGGACTTGAGATATTTGATAATGACAAATATCATGTAATTTTTCTAGTTTAACTGAAAGTCAACTCTTCTTACTGGCCCAGCACCAGTTTCTGAATCACACAAATGGATATAAACTGGACAGCATGAAAAGCAGCAACTTTTTTTTTTTTAAATCTTAATATATGTACATGATTTTTTTTTTCCACCAGGTCAGCTTTAGAGAGTGAGTCTAGCTTTTCCTTTCAGAGCTGGCAGGAAAAGCTATTTTCTCAGATGTCTCAATGAAGTCATCTACATTTTAAAGGAAGAGTATTGTAAATAGGTATGAATCAGTTCAGTTTCCCTGATACAAGGACAAGCTCTCGAAACAACTATTTTTTCCTTCATTATCAAGAAAATCACAATTTTTGTAGTGGTGGTGGTGGTATGCGGTGATCCGCTGAAGCAGAACTCAACCCAAACTTCTGCATCTGGTACACTGAAAGTGTAAGAGCAACAGTTTTGGCCAAAGCCAAAACTGAATGCTCAGAATTGATGCTGAATAAATGCAATGATGACGAAACAAAACAAAAACGAACCTGTCACAAATGCAACCGTGAGCACTTTGATTTCCGAAGGGTTAATAAAATAAATAGTTTATAAATGTACGCTTTCATTTCAGATCTCATAATCTGGTAATAAATTATGTGATCTCAGCAGATACCTTCTGCTGTACAGTTCAGGTCACAAGCCATCTGAAAGATGTAAAATACTTCACTAGCAAGCTTGTCTCCTGGCTCAGCCAAAAAGAAAGAAAGCATGGAAAGCAAGCACAGAACACAAAGGAAAGCTGTCAATCAAATTCATTCATGCTATTAGAAACAGTAAAAGAGGGCAGTAAAGTGACCACCTGTAGGAGTAGTTGATAACTTCACAACATGATCACACATCAAACTTTCCAAAACACTTTTACTAAGAAAACAGTCAAAAATTGGTTGATTTTACAATGCTTGGACAAATTCTGATCTTTCCCTTGGAGTTTTCTGTCTGCCTTTCTCAAAAGAGCAGGAGAAGACCACCAATTTTCTTCATTAAGGATACAATCAAAAATATGTTAATGCCCAAACTGTGCTGCATGCTTAGAAGGAGCAAATCTAAGTGATACTATCATCAGAATTCTACTCAGATGTACACACTGCTCAGAGTGCACAGCAGCTGAACGACACTAAGAACAACAATAGACAAGTATATCCCCAATCTAATTAACAGATTCTGCTAATAAAAGTTCTCAGAAAACACCACTGCTGTACTCTGTAGAAACTCTCTAAACCTCTAAGTCCTCTTCTACCTCTTTTACCTCTATGAACCATCACCTTTTTAGTATCTCTTTCATAACCTCTCCTTTAATGAATGGATTATTTTCGATCAACAAATGTTTCTGTTTGCTGTTGACTAGATAACCCTAATTTGAATTGGAGTACATGAAAACTTCTCCTCTCTCCTGCTCACTTATTTTTATATTTGCTGCTTTTCTACTCCCATGTCTGTGTGTGCATGCGTGTGTTTGGGAGAACAGTGAAAGAGCAGCCTCATAACCTCTCCTTTAATGAATGGATTATTTTCGATCAACAAATGTTTCTGTTTGCTGTTGACTAGATAACCCTAATTTGAATTGGAGTACATGAAAACTTCTCCTCTCTCCTGCTCACTTATTTTTATATTTGCTGCTTTTCTACTCCCATGTCTGTGTGTGCATGCGTGTGTTTGGGAGAACAGTGAAAGAGCAGCCTCAGTTCCAACACACCTCTAATGCAGAGAGCTTTGCCCCTGTGAGACTGCAAGAAAGCATCCTGAACTTTTTATTCCTCTACACAGTTATACAGATCTGTAACACCTTGGTTTGTCTAAATGAAAATGCTTTTTATACAACTATGACCTACTTGCATAGCAATGTTTTTCCAGAATACATTAGAAAGAACCATTTACAAATTTTGTGTAAATATTTAATACATTGGCAATCCTTATCAATATCAATAGCCTGTTCATGCATGAAGCATGATTTTAGTGAAAAACTGAGTCTGTTCTCATGTGCTTGAAATTTTTTTGAGAATACCCTCAAATATTTGGCATTTATATATTCCTGCTACACATACCTGTTTCAGAAACTTTCTTTTTAATGATTGCTGTTCTCAGCATCCCTTAGGAAATACACACCAGCAAACCAGGTGATTAAAATATTTAAATTTGTATTAAATAATGTAAAATAGGCTCTCCCCAACAACTTAACACCATAATCATGCCTAAAATTTTCAGTAGTAACCAAGGTGAAAAAGATCCTTCTCTCTTCTGAATGCAGTGGGAAAATGAGTCTGGCAGGTTTATCTTAAGGTATCTTAAGACCAGAAACAGTTCACTGCAAGACACCTCTCCTGAAACAAGGTTATGCTATTCTTGATTCTAAAACATACAACACGTGCCAGAACTTGGTTTTACTGCCAGCTATACAGTGAACACGCTGTGAATTACTGCTGCTCATAGATCTAGTGACTAAGTCTAAACTTAAAAAATACTATTCCTTTTGTCACCGTGACATGAACATACGAACATATTACTGGTAAGAATTCCTCTTTGAAAGGTAAAGGCTAAGATATGACATAGTATAAAGAATATGTACAGGAAGAAGTTTGCTAGGGTTAGGAACATTGCAAGCTTTCCTTTTAGTACTGAATCAATGGACAGCAAACTGAGAAGCAGCCCAGAGGAGAAGAAATCAATGAGAACAGTATAATCTTTCTTTGAGTGTACTACACAGATAAGCAGAAAAATAGCATTTTATTTCTTTTCCTATCCTACACTCTGAGAATGATTTGATCAGATTCAATTTCAGTGACACAATATTAATAAATGATTTTGAAAACTGCAACACAGCAGATATTTTGCAACTTATTTTTAATCTTTGATATAGAGTGGCATTGATAAAAATTAAGTCATTTTGACTTATAATGAAATTAGGGGAAAAAATCCACATCTGCAGCTAAAGAATGCCAAAACCTTGCATTATTTAGAAGAGTGATTAAAACCAAGTGGCAATGAGCCCTCCAGTATCTCAGACTCCACGCATTTGTTTCTAATAATAAAGGCCCTTAAGGCATCCTTACCCGTTATGTCAAACCAATGTGGTGTTCCAAGAGGTTCAACAGCTATTACACCAATCATGTGAGCAACTGGGTCACTTTCCATCACCGTAAAAGAAAAAAATGGTTCCTCAAAATAAATAGGCTCTGTGGGTGGGATAGGCTTTGGGATCCATTCTATGTGAAGCCGTGTAGTTGAAGATTTTTGTGGACGACCATTATCTACAGCTTTAATCTGTGAAACAGACACATTTTTTAGGCTACAGGACCACATAAATCACTATGTCACATAAACAGAAAGTAGTAATAAGCTCCAAGCATGTTTGCTTGTGTGAGATACATCCAAAAAGGTTAAGTGTCTCTCAAAGTGCCACTTGCCCTTCATTATCTGGGCAGCAAATGAAGAAAAAGTATGCAGCACCTGATAGCAGCACAAACTGCTACCATAAATTCCCTTTTATTTTGCTTTCTTCCTGAAAGTGAGTCAAACTGATTGTTGATATTCCCTCATCATGTACATTATCTGTCAAGTTCTGGAAAAGAGCAGCAGTTTCTTGATTCACAATACAAACATCTGAAATCATCCTTTAACAAAAAACAAACCAAGCCAAAAAATCAAACAAGCCCACAAAACAATACTCGCGGATTTGTTGAAGCTTTGTTCCTTCAGATACTGCAGTCACTCATCTGCGAACTACTGTATAAGAAGTGAACAGATAAAAGAACACTTTACATATTCATGATATACAAGATTTTGACTCACTGAAAGGATATCGTAGTCTCTTGCTGCAGAAAATTTCTTTGATGAAACCACTCCAGTTTTTGGTTCAATAAAGAATTTGCCATGTTCATCACCATCTTCAATGCTGTAGGAGATCTCTGCATTGGGGCCTTCATCTTTATCAGCAGCAATAACTCGATAGATTGGCTCTCTCCTAGCAGTTCTCTCTCGCTCTGGCTTACCACGCTCTGGGAGACGGATTTTGTAGAACTTTTGCAAGAATTGAGGCTTATTGTCATTCTCATCTAAGACCTTCACAATCACCCGTGCAACTGTTGATTTTGCAGGAGTACCATTGTCTGTTACCATTACCTGTTTTTATTAAAAAGGATATGGTTAGCACTCAATTCCAACATGGTCCTTCCAACAATGCTCTTCCTAAATCAGATTTTCCTACAACTGCCAATGACAACTGTAAAGTAATCCCCTCACTTCAGTTAAAGACAATTATGTAAAGCTATTAAGTGAGTATTTACAGAAGGCACTACAAAAGTTTGTTCAGCTGCTATCTTAATATTTTGACACATGAAATGCAACATAAAATGCAAATATTCATGTTCATCTCTAACAGATGGTATGATTTCCACACATATGAATGTCTGCTCCCTTTAGTACTTGTAATGGAAAACCACCACATACCTTTCAGTCTGAAAAAAAGACCCAATCAAAAAGCAAAGCACATCCCAAAAGAGGAAATTACAAGGGGTATGGAATAACATGTCCATTAACATAAAATAAGCATTGCCCAGAGCCATGCAGAAAACAAAGCCAGATTTGAGGAAAATCTATTTGATTTGAATACAACATCAGTTTTGAAGGCATTACCGAGATAATAATGAGAATACTAAGATAAGAGAGAATAACAAGAAGCTAATTTAAAAGACTTGCATAAGAGAGTGCCAACTTCTACTCAGAAAATAGTTACAAATTGGGAATAAAAAACCCGGGGCGTATTAGTTACTATTATGTAAGCAGAAGTGCAATCAAGGATCAAATTTAATAGCAAACAAGGAATAAACCCACCAACCCATCTGGTCAACATTTCAATGCTCAATTAATTAGCCAGATGCTCAGCACTTGGCTCATAACACTGCCCACCATTCTGCACCTTTCTGGGTTTCTTTCCAACCTATTTTCAAAGTCAAAACAAAAAACTAACACATGGGAAAGCTGCTACTCGGGCCATGCTGTCTGTCAATATCACTCTGTAGTTAGAGTTCTTCCTGTTGGATACTTCACAGACTTTTAGTTAAAGCTTTAACAACCAGCTGGGATTCAAAATGAAGAAAGAATAAAGAATTATAAAATTATGCCAGCAGGCAACAATCAATGTTCCAAACTAAAGAGCAATCAGCTTGAACTGCTATTTTATAGAAAATGCTGAAACCAGGAGGATTTATGTACCATTATGTGACACCGCAATCTTAAAAATACAGCGAGTTCTGTATATGTTAGCTTAAGGTTATAACTTAAGGTTAAATTAGCATGACTGCTAACAGACAGCTGCCCATAACATTACACTGCAAAAGTAACCTTTGGCATAAGTTTTGGCCCAGAACAAATAGCACACTCCCACACATTGCCTAGCTGCAGCCTAAGAATTCACACAATTCAGACACCATTCTCAACAGGCAACTTGGATGTGGCCACTCTGTTCCAGGGATAAGGTATAAGCAATCAAAGCCATACTATGCCAGGTGGCTCTACAGTCAGGAAATGATCCACAGCTCATTTTATTTACTGTATAAATTTAATACAAAATCTAGTATAATATGCATAGGAGTAGAAGTCATGATATACTAATTTTACAACCAAAATACGCAGCAGTGGTCAAGAAATAAGATATCACTGACATGAAGTACTTTGGGAAACTGACACAACTAGAATTAATGAGACAATTTGAAAAGGGAATAATATAACTACTTTATAGTTTACAGGAATATTATACCTATTATTAAATCAGATTTGCCATTAAATTAACTTTGCTAGTATTACTACTAGAAACACACTGAAGTGGAAATTCCAACCTATTTCTACTTAGGTCCAAAGAGTTCTTTTCAAAGCTGATACAGAAATGAAAACAATGATAAAAATTTGGCCCAAGAGCTGTATGAATCCAGCTTGTAATGCACTGATGGGATAGAAAAAGGCCAGGAAAACTGCACGCATACTGCAGATCTGCAGAAAAATAACTTGTGGTATCAGGGAATACATTCATCTCCAAGTCTACACAGTCACTGCAGTCCTATTAGAACACCTTTCTAAGGATTTCACAAGTACTGACAAAGTCCAGGCTTGCCTTTCTGGCTTTCATGTTAGCTTTGCTAACTCCCATTGCATTCTTTTATCTATCATCCTGGAGGAGAGGCACAATAAAGCTTCCAAATAAATCTTAGTACGTAAGGACCACCAGGAACATTAAATCATTACAGGTGAAGTACCATGATGTCACACTGCTTGACAAAATTGTGAAACTGGACAACTTGAAGTCATCTGTGTGTTTTCCTTCCACGTTGTTTGACAGAGAATGAGAATAGCTATTATATAAATTCCAGGCCATCAATTAAATCTAGCTAAATAAAAGCATTATGTCATGAATTTCATGCTCTTGGACTCCAATTCTATACTGCATGTTTTGCAACTCACATGACTGATAAATATACTATGCAGAAAAAAGGTCTACTCACATACAATCTGTTTATATTCTTAATGTTAAAATACTCACGGACCTATATGCAGCAAGAGGCAGGCTGAAATAGCTATTCCAGTGATTACACAGGAAGATAAAAAAGGAATCACATTCCTTTTAACAATCATGCCTTTGTACTATTTGAAAGAAAATCTTGATTTACAGATGCAAAAACAAAACATTGCATTCTACCCATATGTTAACTCTTTTCTTACGAAAAAGCCCAACACTCTTTTTATAAGATATGTAGTTTTCTGCATTGCAACATGATAAACATGGAATAAATTACTTCCGAAATCCTGTTCTTTATATTTTTTATATAGTAATCAAGTCTGGTAAACTTAACTCTCTGTAGAAGAGCAATGAACTTACAGTCAATGTTTTTCAGAGAACTAAGGAAATTATTTACCTCCAGTATGTGCTCTCCCTGCTGCTCTCGATCTAGTTTTCTGGATGTGGTTGTAATTAGTCCTGTAAAAATAAAAGAATAATTATTCAGATCCTTCAAGAAAATAATCTGAATGAAGGTTAGGTTAAACCAGCAGTTACTGATATCCTCAGTCTCAATTTCTTCTTAGGTGGTCTCTTCTATTTCTGCAGAATTTACACTTCCATTAAGGGAAGGGGTGAGGGGTTTCCAATCCTTAAAATCCATGAAAATATTCTTTGCAACCTGAAAGCTAAGCTGTTGTAACCCTTAATAGAGATTCAGTTCAGTGTTCCAACACGTCTGTGCATGTTATGCTTCTGATAGATGTATGTAATTCTCTCACATGAAGCCTTGTTTTCAGAGGGTGTTCATATGCCTTACTCACAGGGTGCTTAGACACATTATCTGAATAATTACCAATCTCTTCAGGAGAAACATCTATTTGCATTTTTAGTGATGAACACAGAAAAAGGATGACCTGAAGAGATGCAATAATGGTGGAAACCAGAGCAATTTGTGTGTGCTTGCTTCATTTGGCAATGACACGGTGTCAAATCGTTGCTATTGACAACAGCAGAGAATGACCACGAGTTTTTGCTACATGATGTTACATTTTGCTACAAGACTGATATACCATAGATGCAAGATTAAGAAGGCATGATGGGTTTTGTTTTAAATGAAGAAATTCAAAGAGTAAGAGGTGACAAAAAGACAGTGAAATCTAAATACAAAAGGATCTTATTTTAATTAATTCCCCCTAAGAGTTCAAAATTTTAACCATGTAGTTCCATGAAAAGCAAACTTGGTCAACTCTCAGTTGCAGTGGAATGGCTTGCTATGGTGTGGGTTAACCATGCCATAGATGCAGGCACAAGGGATAACAATTACTTTGCTGCATGAAAACCATTAACATGTCTGCAGGTACAAGCTGGCCCCACAAACATCACTGCTGTGTTCACATGGCACTGAGCCTGTGCTAGTAAATCCTGTTAGGCTTTTCACGAAGTAAACACCAAGATTTGGATTCACCCAGTTTAAGCCACTACTGACCAGAGCATCCCATATTCTCTGAAGCAGGAATCCAGCACACACTAGCTAAAGAGGACACTGCAATGTCATGCAGCATTTTATCCAACTGCCACAGTTTTTTACAGTGACAGGAAAGCATAGGCATCTTGACCCTTAATTGTCAAACTGAAAAGCAGGGAAGCAGTTACCCAGTTAAGGATGAAATAGAGATTAAAACACAGGCCACATACTTCATGTTCCTTTTCCTAACTATAGTGTAATCTTTTTACTAATAAGATCTCCTATAAGCAAAATTAAAATCCACTTATAAAGTTTTCAAGGTTGGTCTGCTACAATAAAAAAAGCCTTCAATTTTGTCTCACAGCTGATAAAAATCAGAGCATGTAAGTAAGAAAAGCAATAAAGATTTCAATTTCACTTAGAAGAGAAAGGCCAACAGAAACAGAATTGTATACCACAGGTGCATAACTACTCAATGCTTCTGTCAAAATAGTTACAGTCTACATATACCAACAAAATAAGACAGTCTGTACTAAATAATATGAACAAAACCTATATAAGGCAATATTACACCTGTCAAATGTTCAACCAACTATTCTTCAAAAAACAGATAGTGCAAATAATAGCTGTTTCAATTATGGTCAAATCTGCCCTTGTTTTTCCAGTAATTTGATTTGCTGTTGTATCAAATCCATTATACACCTAGTGTTCTAGACAATGATATATCATCTCCTGCTTTGTATTTTTATGCTTTTACAGCACATAAAAGATGAGCATGCTACTGTTGGGATATATCTTTTGGTATTACAAAGTAAATGCCCTTTATTACTAAGAAAGAGGGAATGAAAAATAGAACAAACAAAAAACAAACAAGGAAAAAATTGCATTATTACTATGAATTTAGGAAGGGGAGGAAAGAGGAAAAAAACAATGTGACAACTCTATATTAACCTTCTTGAGGTAAAATCTTCACATGAAGATTACAGAGGTGTGAACAAGGATAAATGAAATTATTTATTGTCACCTATTCTACACAAAGCCTTAGCTTCCTGCCTGTGTCTGCTCAAACTACACATTTTCTTTTCACAGGCTCTATGGGAAACAGCACAGAACTGTTAATTGGAAATTAACAAGTGGCAGAGCTGAAGCCTCAACTACTCCTCTTCAGCAAGGTGACTTGCAGATGACTTCAAGTACCAGAAGTTCTCCTAAATACCTCTTTGTATTGAGTACCTCTGGAGGTAGCCAGCACAAGCCCTCCTGTGAATCATTAATCCCCTGAGACTCACCACAGCTGCCAAGGCAAAAGGTTAGATTTCAGCAGTTCCCTATCCACTTTTTCCCCATCAAGAGCCATTAAGACTGGAGCCACCGCTAATATATGCCAATTAATACAAAAAAATCACCAAAAAACAATCCAAAAGCTTTTTCTGCAAGCACTCAAGACATAATTATACTATGTACCACTACTATATATACTACAGTTTGTTAAAGTCTAATTCCAGATAAAATTCTTGTTAATGAACTTGGTCAATACCAGAAAAAAATATCTATCTAGAACAAAATATATATGCTTTGACTTGTTAAAACCTCCAGCCTTTTCAAGCAAGCATGCCACAGGTCTGTTAAAACACTTCAGACCAGTAACAGAAGGGCTTAGCCTTCACCATATATATCCTGTATATTCAGCAGAAACTAATGCCAACAAAGGAAATGTAACACTTCTGGATTTAGAATCACATACACATGCATGACATTCTTTTCATTTAACTCTTTACTGCTAGCCACTTTCCTAAGTGAAAGTTCAGCTTCAGTGAAGTGTTCCACTACAGTTTAAGATTGTAAAAGGTTTGATTATGACAACCACTGCACATTACTATTATTTCCAAGCTTTTTATAAAATGTCTCTTGCTGCACCAACAGATTCCATCTATTGTTGAAGAGCTCTTCTGAACTACAGCTGTGACAATAAGGTCTCATGTTCCTACACAGTGTGGCTTTTGTGACTGCCTGTTAAGAGGGCTGAGAATCTTTGCACCTAATGTAAGTCAACTCCTTGCAAACAGAGCCATGGCTCTGCTCTTTCTACTGGAAACAAAACTTCAAGCTTTTTAGATGGAGCTACTATTCTTTCTTGTAACACTTTGGAGACCTCCTTGCTGTGCCCCTCCCTCTACACAAAAAAGTGAATAACCACACCCTTGCATATACCACATCCCCAGGGAAGTAGTAAGTAAAAGATTATTTCAATTAAGCTCTGGAGAAGTCTTTAAAACAGTTTTGAAATCCCCAGTTTGAGGCGGGGAGAATCTGTTTGCTGCTGAATGAGAGAAATGACAGCATGTGAAAGAAACAGATCTCTGTGACAAATCAGTCAATTTCAAAGAAAAACTGACTCAGAGCATTGCTTTGCAGACAGATATTCTCACGTTTTTCTTTTGCCTTCCTCTTATCACCCCCCTCCCCAAAACCACAGAAACAATAAGCTTCAGTAATTCACATCGCCATTATTTCACCTGAAATCAATGTACACTATGGCAAGATGGGTCAAGCATCCTTGAGAAATGCAACATTTTTAAGACAATGATGAGCAAATGGTATCTCTAGTGAACTGATGCTAATTTCATATTCAGTAATTTCAAAACTCTCCTCATTAAAAACATTTTCATAACAGCAGCTTAGTAACTTTGGGCAACTTTGGATAAAGCATAGCTGTTTTGCCTCATTAGCTGGACAGGTACCACAATCAACTGAAACTAACAGTAAATACCCAGAACAAACATGAAATAAAAACCCTACACCAGGTTAACAAATGATTGTTATTGTCCCTTCCTTGCTGCTTTGAGTTTACATTCTGGGGCTAGCTACTGTGTATCTGAGGTCTATCAAAAAATTAAAATAGTCACAACTGCATTCAGCTAAAACTTCAGATTTCTATTTTAAATAATAGTAAAACAGACAAAAATGCAACTACAGCACTCAATTATGTAAATATAAATAAAACTGCTAGTTTTGGAATAGAAAAAAGCGCAAGAGAGCCGACATTATCGAGGATTTATTTTATCTCAGTTCCCAGCTGTATCACATTACCTCTGTATCTGAAAATTAGCACATCAGCAACTACTTTCATTCAATACTGAAATGGCAATCTCTTTTAAAAAAAAAGTGACATTAGGTGGGCAGTGTGCTAAAGACGTTAGTATTAATTTCATGCTATTAGGTATCATTATGGCATGGATGAAAGAAGCAGCATCACACAAAGTGGTCGTTGCAAGGGGAGGCAGAAGACACAAAATTTTTTATCTTACTGTGTATAAATTGTGCATTCCCATGCATTTGTGCTTTCACAGATATGCACTGACTTTCCATCCGCACATTCAGTCCACTACGCTGCCTCCAATGAGTTTGATCCAACAGGCTTGATGTGAATGTAGTATAATACTATCTGAATTGCAGCACATGAAAAGAAATAGTTTCTCTGATCTTTGAATGCATTGACACTGAAGGTTTAAGGAAACATGGAAAGCAGCTATGACATTTTTAATCACCAATTTAACACATACAAGACATAAATTAAATATAAGGGAGGCCATATTTGGTTGCTGAGGTTTTTGCCTTCTGTGTTGAAGGCAAACCACAACCAGTAAGCAGAAACAGTTTCTCTGAATTGCACCAATTACCATTTAAGCTCTCATCAGTCATTACTGCAACTCAGTCAATTATTATTTAAGCTTTCGTTGTTCCACTTCAGTCTCAAAATGAATAAATTGCTAGTGAATGTTGAAAGGGGTTTTTTTTGTTATATATTAAGATCTGTTTACAGAGTCTTAATATATAAATCAGTCTAAGAGATAAACGAAGTATGGATTTTAAATTTACATGTGGCTTTAATCATAAGCTAGTTTAACTACTGCATAGCACAACCCAAATGCACTGGGCAAATTACAGCATACATTCTACAAGTCGAGAACCAATTATGTCTCTTCAGGTGATGAAGACACTATTGCACCGC